TCGTTTCATTCAACAGGGAAGAAAGGGGAGCCCGACACCTGCGATCACAAGTCGAATCATGCAAATACCTGCGCACGGTGTATAAAAAAAGGAGGGTCCGCGGACGGGGAGAAAGGGTTCTTATTCAGATTAGGGTCCCCGGTATGGATATTCGAGCACCCTTTAATAATGCCACTCGACCAACTCGATTTACAGCGAGTGCCTTCACCCTTCGGCATCGTGCATAAATATGACTAACCTTTTTTCACGCGACTCTTTCTTTGGTTAACCCTAATCGGATCTAACGGGGAAATAATTGGATACCCTGGAAACCTTGCGGACTTGTGTCGGGTACAGGTGGAAATGTACAGGTGGAAGGTACTGTTTCAACGTGTAATGTTTTGATCGAACACAATGGGAATATAAGTAAGATGTGCGAAATGTTCTCAACGTATTGTCATCGTAATGTGACATGTATATTATAGTGTTATACATATAACATATGTTATATATACATATGTAGTGTTAGCTTCCAGAGTAGACATTTATGCAATGGAACATGTATATTTATTATAATCACGTTGCAACCGCCTGTATAGTAAGCATAAGTACTCATAGCTCTTGTAAGTACAATTACGGAAATTCGTAGAAGCATAAATACAGAGTAACTCGTAAAGCGTCTCCTGGAGCGGAGTCCCGGAATCAGAGCGCGTAGATATTATTCGCGCCTGTTTGGTGAATTCGCGTCGGTAGGGGCGTCATTAAAATCAATACTGGCTCGCTCTCCTCTCCCTCGTCTCCGTTTCCATCTTCGTCCGTCGCCGCTATACATCCTCGTCGCGCGCGTGAGGGTGGCAGAGAAGCGAGGGGATGTTCGCGTTCCTGGCCGGACGTGGGAGTCGCGAAGACGTCGCTGGTGGGGTAGCCTAGGGTGAAGGAGGAAAGAAGGGAACGAGCGGGATAAAGAGGGTGCAGAGGGGTGGGGACGGCGATAAGAGGAAGGGTGCCCCGTTCGTAAGGTTAGGTAGCCGGCACACGCGATAAGAAGTGGGGGATGGCGTTCCCATGGCCAATAAGAACCTCTTTAAAGCGCCCTTTTTGCGCGCGGAACTGCGCATGCCGGATTCAAATCTGGGCGAGAGCTGGTTATCGAAGTGGAGGTGGCGACGGTGGTGGTGGCCGGTGGCTGTATGGAAATATGATAGCGCGATAAAAAGAGGAAGAATGGCAGGGATGCTTGTGTTACGGGCGGGTGGGGATACTGCACGGCTGCCGCGACCAATAAAGGCCCAGTTTAAAGCGCCTCTTTGCTTCTCTTTTTTTTTGCACCGGCACTGCGCATGCCGCATTCAAATGTTGGGAGTGGTGGACTTCGTGTGCATGGAAATATGATAGGTGAGACGGGGTTCGAAGGAATGGCGTCCGGGATGTAAGGGGTTGCTGAATATCTTTGCGCCGGGCTTTTGCAAAAGAATGGCGCTCCGAATCGATTCCTGTATCGTACATTAAATTTAAACGAACAATTCCACCAATTTGGAACACTTCAACGATGTATCGAGACAGAGAGAATAATTGATAATTCGATGCGTTCGCGAATTTGGTAACATTGTATAATAAAGCTATTGTTCGAGAGATCACAGCAAGCGGTTTTAATCCCCAAAAGTACCCACCTGCTGTTAGCAGAAGGTTCATCGGACCGTGCAGAGGCATCTCACGGTGCTCCAAAAGTACGTAGGGGTGAAATCTGGGGTTCATACATGATCCTTTCACGCGAAGGATTAAATGGAATCATAAAAATACTCCTAAGAAATGGAATCTTTCGATATTATCCGCCATAGACAATTTGGAGCATGTCTCGAGATGCAGTTATTTCATGATTCGGACAGGGAATAAACATTTCTGTCTTGTCGAAACTTAGGGTCAGGCGCATCCAACAGCTTACGTTCGCGTCACGTGTTCTTCTTTAAGAAGAAGGCTCGTGCCAGCCACGGGGATTAATCGTATGCAGTGGATTTTTTATTGCCGCGAAAGTGCAGCTAAAAGTCGCTCCACGCCCACCAGGTAATCACGTGATCGATGCTGGCCGCTTTCGTACACGAGCCACTGTAGCATGTATAGCGATTGCTGACAGTGAAATCGGTGGAAAGGCCCTAATCGGCATCGCTCGACAGAGGGGGTAGAGAGTGCATCGGATTGGCCGGTTTTCTCTCGTATGCAAATGCATTCACCTTCTCTCGTTGTGGCGGTGGTGTTCTCGTAGTAGCCGGTACACGCGAGGTAAAAAGGCGCGCTCGCGTTCGCGAGCAAAGAGCTCGCCTTTCCTGAGCCGGGCGGAGCCGCGCGCGATCCGCGTTCCTTCGCGATTGGAGGCTCGATTCCCCACCGACGCTTCAGGTTTCCCCACCAAAAACGAGCGTCCAGGCGTCCGTCCGGTGTTCTCCGTTTCGCTCTTCGTCGCTCGGCCCGGCGTTCCGCTCCGAGTCGCTATAGCTCGCTCTTTCTCGTTCTTCGGCAACTCCCCCACCTCTAACGCGGCCGCGGTTCCCCGTGGCCGGTAGGCGGCCGACCGGGCGTACGTGGGCCCTCTAGTGTAGCTGCACACATGCACGCGACAGCATCTGATCGCCGTACCAGCCGCCGCAGCCGTAGCTGCCACCGCCGTAGCTCGTCGCGGATGCCCGTGTGCCTACGATAATACGATACTCTGCCATTTCCACGATCACGCCTCGGCTCGGCAGCGCGAAACGAGAAATCCGACCGCGTTAACATATGACGGAACGATCCTGGCACGTGTCGTTCGCCGGACACATCGCGTACGTCGGTAGTGAGACAGTGATACCGAAGTGACAGTTTTCCACGAGAGGTCTTCGAACATGCTCGCGTCGATCGTGCTCCACGCTCGGACGTGTGTCGATGACAGTTGACGGGGACAGTACCGGTTTTCGAATCTTCGCGCGGCGAACATGCGACAGTGAACACAGCTGACAGTTGGCGCCAGTGGGAATTCGAAATTTGCGCGGTCGTTCTATGGTTGACAGTCGTGCGACAGGTGAACACCACGGGGCCCAGGAACTATGCAGTAGCGTGTCACGCTAGTCCGTTCGATAGCCGCGTGCAATCGGGAGTGATCGTTTAATCGGAGGGGTAGTCGGTGTACACCCGGTGACCGTGACAGACCTGGAGCCGGAGAGGTGTTGAACGTGCGCGTTTACGAGTGTAGTGTCTCCTCAGGAATATACGTATTGTGATACGGAAGGATAACCGTAGTCTCGAGCAAGGACCTATCGGCTCGAAAATAGCCGAGCACCGATGTGGACAGGGTGAGCGGGCCGGTGATCGACGGGTATCGTTCGAGTCGGCGGCAGAACAGCGAGGCTCGTTCGGCAAGGTGAACCAGCAGGTGACCACGTTGGATCTCGCGGCGTTGGCTGCTTACGGGGGCGTCTCGGGACCCAGGGTCGCGGTGGCGGGCACCGGGGTCCTCGCGCTGCCCGGCCTGATACCCGACAAGGGTTTATCATCGCCCGGTGGACAGTCGAAGGCAAAGTCCGCAGGGCTGGCGGGCCTCGACAGCGAGGCGGTGCG